AGTCCTGTTCTTGTTTGACTGCCTAAATACAATATCAAAGTGAAAAGCTTGCCTGTGTTTTCAAAAGAAATTGGCTTCAAAATTTTGTTTGAACTTGGTACAAAACTGTGGCTCAGTCTGGAGCTCTCACAAGAGTGAACACAGGCTGCCTAGTCTGCTCCCGCTGAGCTAGTTCATGCTTTGGAATACCAGTGGCTTTTATGTACACTCGTCTTCAAAGGAACAACAAAGAGTTACTATTTATCAACACTATGAAACTCTGCTCCAGCATTTTCTATAATTTGCCAAAATTCAGAATGCCACAGCTAGGTCATTTTGTAAAGCGAGATGACTGATGCCTAGTTAGCTTATTACACGCATGAGGAGTTTGCTTGTCTCTGCTTAGCTTAAAACTGGAAGGGAATGCAACTCTTGAGAAAACCCAACCTCAGTCTTCCCTCTCACTATATCATAATGAATGTAACTCAGCATAAAGAGAGAAGCATTGGAATGATCGACCATGGTGTGTCCATTGGGGCCATAGAGAATTAATATCAGCAAAGTGAAGTGCAGGATTCATGTCAGAGCTTTGGGCTTGAGTACAGCTTCCTCATTATAAAAGGCAGCATAGAAAACAAAGAGGCCATCCCACAATACACAGAAAAGCAACTATGTAAACATGTTGGAGTTATTTCTTACTGGAGGATTCTTCCTCAGACATTGGAAAACCTTGAGATTGAAAGGGATTTTAAATCTTGCTGAATTTCCCTGTAAGCACCATCGCCCTTCGGGGAGGAGCACAGGAAGTGCATTTCTCTGGTGCTCCCTTGAAGACCTAGATCTATCTGATTGAATCAGAGGCTCTTGAAGGAGGGAGGCATAGCATCATTTTTAACCATGGGATAAAGGAGTGTCAGTCAAGAGTCTGGGTGGTGGATTTCTTTTCCTACGACATGGTATTAAAATATACAGAAAATATTTATTCTATTTTTACAGGTGGAGGGAGCTTTTGTTTTGTTTTGTTTTTAGCAGTTGAAAAATGGCATGACTAATGTGACATCATTTGTTCCCCCACAAAGCCAGCTCTTCTATAAACCGAGAAAGTTGCCGCTGTTAGAGAAACCAGGATCTTAACGAGTGCTAAGTTTATTTTTACTTTTGGAAAGTATCTACAGTGCTTTAAGCATTGTAAAAGTATCTTCAGTTAAGAGGGTTAGGAGAAGGTATATAGGCTTGGTAATCTCCGAGGACCCCCAACTGTGGCAATGACTGGGGCCTCTGTAAATCTAACCTGTGTGCAAAAGGAAGATTGTTGATCACTTTTTGAGCATTTTTGTTCACTGAAAAGAGCTCAAAACAAGCCCACAGACCCCAAAGCCAATGATACACCACAGGACACCATTTGCCCATAGGTCACAACTCAGACACAGTCCCTTCTGGTCAATCTTTGTCTTTAACTCTTCATGTTCAGGAATGAATAATTCTGGGGCTGTGAGATGGCTCAGTCAGTACAGAGCTTGTCACACAAGGATAAGGATTTGAGTTTATCTCCAGAACCAGATGAGGGGGAATGTACGGTGGCACACACATGTAATCCCAGCTCTGGGGCAGCAGAAAAACAAGATGAATACTTGTGGCTCACTGGCCAGCCCAGCTTCACTTGTGCTCCCAGCAGAAGGCTGCATGAAAAATGAAATCTCCTCCTAGCCCTGAGTAGCTCTAAGGTTATGGAGGGGAGTGAAGGTCTTGTGAAAATTGAACGGTCAGTGAAAATGTAGGACAGAAAAGGGAATGAATGATTGAACACAGGTCAGGCCTTTCTTTGGGAGAAAATACCTGCATAGTCGGGGTTCCCATAAAAAGTAGAGCTTGCAGTCAGCTTACAATCTGGCACAGTTATGGGGCAGAAAGGGTCAGGGGTGGAGAAGTTTCCTGCTTGGTTTGAAGTTAGCCATTGCTTGGGTAACCAGTGAGTGGTCAGTCAGAGAACATTGGGTAAGCCATGAACATCTTTCCTGGAAGCCATCATGCAGGGTCCACAGGGCAGAAAAGGCTAGAATTGAAGTAAGCTACTTTACCTCTGGAATCCAAATTACTGTCATTACAAGAATTGTCACAGTTCAGCCCAAATGGAGGGGTTTTACAAAGTGTCATGGCCCTGGCTAACAAAAAGCAAGGCTTGGGAATTCACACCAGCCTTCCGTTAGGCATGCTTCCTTACCTCTGTGCCTATAACCAAGGAATATGGTGCCAGGGTCACTTCACTTCCTGGGGTCTGAGAGGGGCCAGAATGTCGGGGGTCAAGGCAGCCGTGGAAATGCTTTCTCATGCCTATCAGATTGCCCAGAGAGCCAGCTAAGTGGACCAGATCCACTCTCTGGCCACCAGACCAGCACACCAGAGTTTGCCAAAGGCTGCAGTGAGGGCCTTGATGTCCAGGCCAAGGGACCTCATCCCTTCTGGAACACTAAGAGGTCATGGGATATCACTGAGAAAGTCAGAGAACCCAGCCCATTTGCTGCTTGAGTGTGGCATCCGAATAACAGTATCGAATAGGAGCGGGAGAGCATCTCGACCACTAAGAGATGGAGAAGAGTCCTGGGAATTTGCAGAGTTTGCAGCTCACTAACTTCATTCTTTTATTTATTTGTTTGTCTGTTTTTGCAGTACTAGGGTGAAACCCAGAGCATCACCAGAGCTAAACAACCACTCTTCTTCTGTGTTTCCTGCAGGCCAAGTTTCTCGTCTTGACTTGTGTAGCCACTGCAGAAAAGGTCCTGAGAACCACATGAACTGTGCACATACCATGAATAAGGGCACAGCTAGAGATTTCAGACTCTAATGTGGTAAAACCAGCCATGGCCCTCAAGAGAGTCATAGCAGAGTTCAAGGTCAGTAATATACATATAGATGTACATACATACATATACATATGGCAACAGATATTTGGTAGTATATTTATTTGCACATGTATGTAAATGTATACCTCTACACATACACACACACACACACACACACACACACACGTACGTATGTATGTATGTACATACGTATACCTCCACCACTTCAACCTTGTGTGTGAACTTGTACATACTTTTTAGTGTCTCTCAAAGTATAATCTGATTCTTTTCCAAATGTATATAACATATCGGCTCTCAGGACCACAGAGGATATTTCTGACTCAGCTCTTAGCCTCTCTAGTGTGACTTCATACAAAGTAGAATTGTGGTGTGTGTGTGTGTGTGTGTGTGTGTGTGTGTGTGTGTGTGTTTGTCACTATGTTCTTATGCCTCTGTCTGTCTGTCTGTGTGTTACACTAATGTGTATCCAGGTTTTGATTTCTCTTTTTTTTTTTTTTTTTTGGTTCTGTATGTTTAACGTTTTGATTATTATGTGGTGATAGGACTTTTTTTGGTCCAGTCTATTTGATGTAAGGTTCTTGTACCTTCATAGGCACATCCTTCTTTAGGTTGGGATGTTTTCTTTTATGATTTTGTTGATGTATTTTCTGTGCTTAAGCTAGAATCCCTCTCCTTCTTCTATTCCTATTATTCTT